TATAGAATTAGACATTATTATTGATGTTTCTATATATTGTAATGATTCGAAGTCTGTTTATTAGTTAATAAATAAACAAGATAAAGATATATTTGCTTACTTGGTAGCAAATTATTTAATAAATTCATTTATAGCATTAATTTTATTTTGTTTTATATTTTTTTATTCCTTTGAAACTTATGATTTGATTGGCAAATTATCATGTGAAAATACATTAATATTTGTATAACATTGAACGTTTCCCTCTGTTTGAAATTTTGCTAAAAAAAAATAATATATACACATATACATTACAAAAAAAATAACACATAATACATTGTACGTTTCTCTAATCGAAATCTTTATTAATAAAATATAGAATAAAAATACATAGTAAAATACATGATAAAATATAACATATGTGGTTTTTTATATCACAAAAATTATTTGAATAGTAATATAATGTAACAATCACGAGTTAACCAGTGTGCGATCAATCAACACTTATTACAGAATAAAAATCGAAGGTACTGTACAACACTATATGCAAACATATTAGCGGAGTCAGCAAACCAAGATAATAAAGAAGAATTACTAGAAATGTATAATTAACAAGGTCAAAGCATAATTCCTTATTTTTGTAAAATGAATATTGAGAGTAAGGGACTGGCTGATTAAACGATATAACTGATAGAGAAGCTTTATTTTAGATTATGATATATGTATATCATCCAGGCCATGTGTGTTATAATAATAAAATAATCTGAAGGATTTTGATTACAATAAGCAATCCTGTTTCGTGATTTGGGAGGGATTTGTAATTTTGCCTGCAAGTTATATCTGAAAAATATGACTGATTCTTTTTTCATCAATCGATCATCAAAGCGACATAGAAGTATAGCTGTATAGATCTCTCACTCCATATCGGAATTGATCAATTTTTCTAAAAATTTTATAAAATTAATTAATTAAGTAAAAAATTCCTAGCTGATAATTTGGGTATCCTTATGTCAAGAAAATCTTGAGCTGCCGGCCAAAAAAATATGGATCGTAGTATCTCAAAAATTCTCTATATATCTAGCATTAACAATTGTGTTCTATGAGTAAAATTTCATTCTGAAAACTTTTATTTAGAGGTTAGAAATTAGTTATCATAGTAAATTTTTGTGTTATTTATATTTTTTACAATTTCTTATGTTTTTCACATTTGTTTTGTTATACAAGATCCTGTGATTTTATTGGATCCAGATAGGGTCAGAAGTGATCTTCAGCCTAGGATTTTCTTGATATAAGGGTATTCTGATAATTTTGCTAGTCCAGCTCCGATGCATTATGACCCGGAATTTTTGGGGTTGCCTCATAAAAATCTCACATGTAGATTTCATAAAAATTTTGATTTATCAGAAAAAATTTTTCCACACTAAAACTATACAAATTTTGATTTTTAATTTATTGATATTTTTTTTCCAAATCCACATTGATTGGTTCAATAATTATATATATAAGTATGTCTAAAGTTGATAATGACACATCCTTAGCCCCAAATCTCTTAATATCGATGTGGGTTCTTTTAGAGGGCAAACCAAGTTCCGTGGAAATTCATATTAAGCCAAGCAATTTTATATTACAAAGTCCTAATTTAAATAACTTTAAGAAAATTCTTAAGCAAGAATTTGAGGCTTTTAAAGATGTAAGACTGGAGAATATTGAATTTTTCTCCGATAAGGATCGAACACAAACTCGTTTCGGTGGTGTGTTGCTAGCGGACCTTGTTACAACTGATTCATGCCCACTTATCGTTCGATACCTGCTGTCCACGTCGAGTAGTAAATATAATACGTTTTCATGTATTTATTTTTCATATAATGTCTAATACTCATTTATCTTCTCCGTAGTCATAGTAACTTATAAATCAGGGAATAGCAAAGTGAAAAAAAAACTGCCACACTCTAGCGAATCTTGGAATTTGCTATGAAAAGATGTTATAAGAAATTTCAGTAAATTATCAAAATTCGAAAATGCAAAAGTGGATGACCTCTATTTTGAAATCTCTGAAGGTAATGAAGAAAATCTTGAGAACAAGTTTCAATTTAATGAGCTCATAGATCAGATCGAAGAAAAGGAGAAAAGACGAGTTCTTCCTGACCTTAAAGTCCAAATTAAAAGTATGTTTTTATATCTTGACCTGGTACGAAGAATGGTGTAAATATTCTAATTCAAACTCAATTAATAGATAAAAAACCTTATAATGAATGGGACATCAGAGATGTATTCACAAATATTTTGCATCAAGATTATAATGGATCACTTGGCCAAGCATTTAATTTAGATGAACTTCCAAATTACAATTCAATTACCGTAGAGGAGATGAAATTCTTTGTTGAAAAGATCAAAAAAATGATGAAAGTATTCAAAAATAATATCAATGCTAATGAAGCAACTGTTTGAGAATATATATCTATTTTCATGAAGACCGCAGTTAATCACATTCAAATGTTTACGAACAATTTAGCACAATTATACGTAGAAGCTAATCTTTATGGATCTAAAAGGTATGGTCCCGTGGACTATTTAGTGAAACTTGATGATTTTGCGGTGCTAGTCAATGAGGCCAAATCGGAAGATTTAACTAAGAGAATAGCCCAAAACATTATGCAATTGCACAGTGCATCAGAGGTAATTCTACCATTTTTGTATTTATTTATTGTGCTTAGGGTAGATCTAACTATTGATGAATATTTTCAGAGTTTATTAGGCAAGCGTAAGTTAGAACAGACAGAATTTGAATCATCGCAACAACAATTGTTTGGAATTGTAACAACTGGGGTTTCTTGGTATTTCATTCACTGGACTGGTTCTCCGGAAAACCCTAAAGTTGAAATCTCTCGCCAACATAATTGTGGTTTTGAAGAGGAGATGCAGAGTGAAAAAAATGTAGTTTTTTATATTGTTTGTATACTAGAAAATCAAGATGATATGTTAAAAAATAACCCAAAACATGTATATAGAGGCTAAAACAGGCAAAATAGTATATAATGGAATAGATTTATGTTACTCTTTCTTTTTGAGTTTTTGAATAAGAAAGTTTTTTGTAACAATTATTATTAATAAAGATGGCTTCCCTTTGAGAAATTTTTGTGGCT